TTCACAGTTAATGTACTGTAAATGCAGTGACTGTTTTTGTGAATAGCATCAAGTGCCCTTATATTCAAAGTATGTCATTCACTTCATAGCTTTTGTGAGACATTACTGTGGCTGTCGTATTTGCCCAGAAAATACAGTCACTACACTTTGCAGTATATCCTGTGAAGCGCTTTTGAGATATCCTCCTATTAATATTTTCTCCTTGATTGCTCAGCCCCGGTGTCTTTTACAACAACAACTTGCATTTATACAGCGCAGGACAGGGTTTCGGAGCACTTAACAGTGGCAGAGTCTGATACCTGATGCCCCTCATCCCCTCTCCCCTCGCTCACCCTTGATCCCCTTCCCCTTCCACACCCCTCCCTCATCCTCTCCCCCCGCCCTCATCCCCTCTCCCTCCCCCAGCGCCTCTCACCTTCAGCTAAACCTTTTAAAGTTCAGAGGAACCCCAGGCAATCCAGACCAGTCTTTCAGGTGAAAGGGTAGATCAGGCTTAGAGAGAGCGCCTGACTGACCGTGGGAGGCACATCGCTTTGTACCGACCATTTGTAAATCAATAGGAAAGGCTTTGGGTTGTAAGTGTGCAGTGATGTCCTGGCTCAGTCCATCGCACTTTCTTCTCTGGGGCAGAGGTTTGTGAGTTCAAGCCCCACATGGGGGCTATTGAGCTCACAGTCCAGGCTGACACTCAGCACAGGACAGTGCTGAGGGCAAAGTCTTTCATCTAAAGATCCCCTGGCATGACTCGAAGAGAGAAGGGAGTTTCTCTCTCCCCGGATCCTGGCCAACAATCCCCCAAATAATATCAGTCACTCACTTCACGGTTGTTTGTGAGACTTTCCTTTGCAAATTGGCTGTCGTGTTCGCCTACAAAAAAAATCTCCACTTTGCAGTAAATCCTGTGAAGTGCTTTGCGATACCCTCTCGATGTGAAAGATGTAAGAATTATTATTATTTTAACTCCATTCCCTGCTCTCTCCCCATCGTGTCAGTGCTGGTGCTCTCCCAGTCTGGCTCAGTGTGTGTGGGACCCGGGGTCGATTCTCAGGCAGTGAAACCTTAGGCAAGTTTCCTTACTCCACACACCTCTGTTTACCAGCAGTAAGTAGGAACCCGGTTGTCAGTCGATTAAGGGATTGCTTTCTGGGTTAATAATCACTCCAAAAAATATATAATAATTCGGTCACTCATTCTACGACTGTTTGTGGGTACACTGCTGTGCACAATTGGCCGCCACGTGTAGCCCCACAAATATAACCGATTCACTTTACAGTATATTCTGTGAAGCGCTTTGAGACGTCCCAATGATGTGCTAAGGCACTATATCAAGTGCAAGAACTACTATTATTAACCAAATCTATAAACCAGACTCAGGTTTCCATGGAATTTTTGCGGCTCACCTAATTCTAAAGAGTATGAGGCGCAGGGTTCTGGATGAAAATATAAATCATACTAACCAAAGACTCGCGGCCTTCACTCGACCCAGAAACAAGCAGCTGGGATAACAACAAACAAGTGAGTGAGTGAATGGGTGGGTGGGTGGGCGCCGGGTGAGTGTATGGGTGGGTGGGTGAATGAGTGGGTGGGCGGGGAGTGAGAAAAAAGTGAGTGGGTGAGTGGGTTGAGCGTGTGAGTGAGTGGGTGGGTTGAGTAGATGAGTGAGTGGGTGGGTTGAGTAGGTGAGTGAGTGGGTGGGTTGAGTGTGTGAGTGAGTGGGTGGGTTGAGTGTGTGAGTGAGTGGGTGGGTTGAGTGTGTGAGTGAGTGGGTGGGTTAAGTGTGTGAGTGGGGTGGGTTGAGTGGGTGAGTGAGTGGGTGGCGGGAAGTGAGTGAGTGGGATGGGTTGAGTGAGTGGGTGGGTTGAGTGGGTGAGTGAGTGGGTGGGCGGAAGTGAGTGAGTGGGTGGGTTGAGTGTGTGAGTGAGTGGGTGGGTTGAGTAGGTGAGTGAGTGGGTGGGTTGAGTGTGTGAGTGAGTGGGTGGGTTGAGTGTGTGAGTGAGTGGGTGGGTTGAGTGTGTGAGTGAGTGGGTGGGTTTGAGTGTGTGAATGAGTGGGTGGGTTGAGTGTGTGAGTGAGTGGGTTGAGTGTGTGAGTGAGTGGGTGGGTTGAGTGGGTGAGTGGGGTGGGTTGAGTGGGTGAGTGAGTGGGTGGGTTGAGTGGGTGAGTGGGTGGGTTGAGTGGGTGAGTGAGTGGGTGGGTTGAGTGGGTGAGTGAGTGGGTGGGTTGAGTGAGTGAGTGGGTGGGCGGGAAGTGAGTGAGTGGGATGGGTTGAGTGAGTGGGGTGGGTTGAGTGGGTGAGTGAGTGGGTGGGCGGGAAGTGAGTGAGTGGGTGGGTTGAGTGTGTGAGTGAGTGGGTGGGTTGAGTGCGTGAGTGAGTGGGTGGGTTGAGTGTGTGAGTGAGTGGGTGGGTTGAGTGTGTGAGTGAGTGGGTGGGTTGAGTGTGCGAGTGAGTGGGTGGGTTGAGTGTGTGAGTGAGTGGGTGGGTTAAGTGTGTGAGTGGGGTGGGTTGAGTGGGTGAGTGAGTGGGTGGGGGGAAGTGAGTGAGTGGGATGGGTTGAGTGAGTGGGTGGGTTGAGTGGGTGAGTGAGTGGGTGGGTTGAGTGGGTGAGTGAGTGGGTGGGTTGAGTGGGTGAGTGAGTGGGTGGGTTGAGTGGGTGAGTGAGTGGGTGGGTTGAGTGGTGAGTGGGTGGGTGGGTTGAGTGGGTGAGTGAGTGGGTGGGTTGAGTGGGTGAGTGAGTGGGTGGGTTGAGTGGGTGAGTGGGTGGGTGGGTTGAGTGTGTGAGTGAGTGGGTGGGTTGAGTGGGTGAGTGGGTTGGTGGGTGGGTTGAGTGGGTGAGTGGGTGGGTGGGTGGGTGAGTGGGTGGGTGGGTTGAGTGGGTGAGTGAGTGGGTGGGTTGAGTGGGTGAGTGGTGTGGTTGAGTGTGTGAGTGAGTGGGTGGGTTGAGTGTTATTACTTTTACCAAATAATTACAACAGTATTTCTACAATCAGGAGAAAGTAGAGATTTTGTGATTTCGATGACCCCAACACGGCATTTCTGTGTCACACACATTCTCTCGAAAGATGTTGACCTTTGATTTTACTGAAACAAGGTTTGGACTTGTTTTTCCTGAGACACCTTTAGACTACTACAACCAAAGGGTTGACATTTTACAGCAGAAATCCTCTCCTCACATCAGAGAACCATACTTTCCCGTAAGTGTAGTCTCTCTCACAGCCTCAATAATAATAATCCTTTGATAAAGCACCTTATCACGTCTTTGAGACACCTCAAAGTGCTTCACAGAAAGTGTATATTTTGGGGGCGAAACGCGGAAGCCAATTGTATACAGCAGCATCTCACAAACAGTCGGGGATTGTGTGACATTAATATTTTTTAATTTCAAATTCTTTTTGAAGGGATTATTAGCCCCTGAAAAATAATCCGCCAATCAACTAACAACCGGGTTCCTACTCACTGCCAGGTAAACAGAGGCGTGTGGAGTAAGGAAACTTGCCTGAGGTTTTGCCCTGACTGGGAATCGAACCCGGGTCCTCTCGCTTGCGTGACAAGTGTTCTAACCACTGACCTACAGGATTCCACAGAACTCGGTGCAGTCTCTCTGGTGACAGATTGTGATGTGATCCCCACAATATAACAAATGGGACCTTTTGTGTGTTATGTTTTTAGTCGCCCGGGTATCTGACACTCACGGAAACCCACTCTGGCTGCCATGATCTCCTACAAAAACAGTCACGACACTTTACAATCATTAATGATGGAAACTACACTTTACGGTAAAATCCTGTGAAGAGCTTTGGGACATCCTCCCGATGGTGTATCAAATGCAAGTCCAGTAAAACTCACTAAGTCGTATCAGTCGGGACTATAACATTCGATATGACTTACAGTCTGAATTAGGGGCAAACTGTATAAGTCATGTCAAATATGATTTAATCAATAATCTACACTGCAACCAAGTAATTACTGCAGTCGGTAAGTGCACATGTGGTGACGTTTCCCGTGAAGCGCAACCGGTAACTGAGGACTAATGGAAGGCGGGGAACAGGGTTATGAGTTGCAGATGATTAATACAACTTGTGCAAATAAATCTAAGTGGTTTTGATAGGAACCTGGAAGACACTTGGGTGAATTTACAACTTAATAATAATAATACGGTAACCAGCTTTCTCCCGACTTGTCAATAAGGTAAAATTACATTGTCGACGATTTTATTAACAGTTTTATTAACATTTGTGACCAGATTCAATGTCAATTATAATCCTCAAAACTGTACAAGCCGATAAAACACTGAACCTTCGAGACGGCCGGAGGCTCTGGCCCTGGCTAACTCTTTCCCCCTCGAGAACAAGGAGCTCTGACCCCACCCCCTCCCTCGTGACATCCTCACCGGGGGGAAGGGAAGGGGAAGGAGAGAAAGAGAGAGATTTTGGCTCAGTCACTTAGTTCTGGACCCACTCAGGAGTTGGAGCTCACAGTCCAATTTAACGCTCTGACACGGGGCCTGAATACACTATTCCCTACCCCCCCCTTTCACTACTCATCCCTTACTTGCCCCCACGCCCCCCGGGAAGCGAGGGCCCAGACGCTGAGCCAGACAACGGAATCCAGCAGCGGAAACACAGGCGAGAGAACTCCGTAATTACTCAGCTCAGTAACACACAAACCTCCAGATCTTAAGTCTGAGGGCGAGAGACACAGGCAGACAGAGGGACAGACAGAGGGACAGACAGAGGGACAGACAGAGGGACAGACAGACAGACAGACAGACAGACAGAGCGACAGAGCGACAGACAGAGCGACAGACAGAGCGACAGACAGACAGAGCGACAGACAGAGCGACAGACAGAGCGACAGACAGAGCGACAGACAGAGCGACAGACAGAGCGACAGACAGACAGACAGACAGAGAGACAGACAGAGAGACAGACAGACAGACAGACAGACAGACAGACAGACAGACAGACAGACAGACAGACAGACAGACAGACAGACAGACAGACAGACAGACAGACAGACAGACAGACAGACAGACAGACAGACAGTCTCCCCACTGTGACGGAGCGAGAGGAGCCTGGGTGGTGATGCCGAGTTGACACAGACTGAAGCAGAGACACGGTGGTCAGTGTTGGCCGCGGTGACATTCTCCGGACCAGTGGTTCAGTTGAGCCGCTTCACCATGTAGGGGCCCTCCAGCTCATAGCCCAACTTCCTGTAGTAATTCCTGGTCCCCACACCTGAGAGACAAAACACAAGATGGATATTGAATGAGAGAGGGAGGGAGGGAGGGAGGGACTCAGGGATGGAGTTCCCGAGAGCCGGATAGAAAGAAAACATAACAAAACTCTTCCAGATAAAATAATAACCATTAAAAGTGAGGGAAGAAACCGAAGTATGATAAAGAGAGAAGGAACAGAGAGAAAGCCATCTGTCCGCACAGCTCAAGGAGCTCAGGGGTAGACACTCTGATGCTCTCTATTTGCCAGAGAGACATTGCGAGTCAATGAGGGAAGGAATGACTGTCAGTGGGTTATCAGTGCGGCATCGCTCACACTGCAACAGGTTGGAGCACCTCACCAGGAGCCAGTGACCACATCGCTCCTCTCCCTCCCCCCACCCCAATCCCCCCTCTTCCCCTCTCCCTTGCCCCCTCTCACCTCCCCTCCATACCCCTCTCCCACCCCCCTTCCCCCCCTTTCGCTGTGAATCACAGGCCAGCCCGGCAGTAACACAGGGCCACGAGCGAGAAGCCAATCCCAGAATTTTGCCCCAACGCCTCATCTCAGGAATACAATTGCGGCAAAATAACATAAAGCCACAAACCGTACAGGATCGCTTTGCTTGGAAACTCAAAACAAACCTGACTGTTCTCTGTGTCCCTCATTCCATCCACTTCGCCATCGCCAGCTGAGCTATCAGCCATATATTACCTTCCCCGCTCCCCCACCCACCTCTCTGGACTCCCCCACCCCTCCTCCTCCCCTCACTCGCTCTCCCCACCTTCTAAACTCCTGAACCCAACTATAATAATCCTCACACTTCATATTACGGTCCATCCACTGTACAGTACATCTTGTAAAGCGCTTTGAGACGGCTCAACCATGTGATAAGGCGCTATATCAAATGCAAGGATTATTATTATTATTATTGCTTTGTCACAACGTCTCAAAGTGCTTCACAGGATTTATGGTAAAAGCGCAGTGACTGTGTGTAGCCAATTCACGCACAGCCTTGAAGCCACCGATTTTATCCAGCAGATTGTCAGCCAGAACAATGAGAGAGAAACTCCCTTCTCTTTTCGAATAGCTTTAACATCTTTAATTTCCTCCTGAACAGGCAGGCGGAGCCTTGGTTTAACGTCTCATCCGAAGGAAGCGTCTCATTGAATTATACAGCACAGAAAGAGGCCATTCGGCCCATTGTGTCTGTGCCGCTTCTTTGAAAAGAGCTTCCAAATCTATCCCACTCTCCCGCGCTCTCCCTATAGCCTGGAAACTTGTCCTCCCCAAATAATTATCTATTTCTCTCTTACTCCGTTACTGCAGCATCTCCCCAGCACTTCACTGGAGCATCAGCTTAGACGGTGAGTTTAAAGTGCTGCTGTGGGGTTTGAAGCCACAACTTTCTGACTCAGGTGAGGGCATTACCGCTGAGCCAGGCTGACACCTTTCCTGCTCACCTCAGTGTACGATCGTGTCCCTGATTATGGCTGCTCTCTCACAGAGGGAAGAGTCTCTCTAACTTGTCAATTTCCCCTCATTATTTTAAACACAGATAAACACATTCATTATTCTCGTTACCCAACGGCACAGCTCGTACACACACACTCACAGCACAGGGCACTGATGTTCCTTTAATGAAGTACAATATGGCCATATGCTTCACGCCTCGTGCCAAACAGCAGACAGGCTGGACGTGTGAAGGGCAAAGATAGAGCAACTCAGTCACTGAATGAGATACAGTCACTGAGTGAGAGACATAGACACTGAGTGAGAGACAGTTATTGAGTGAGAGACACAGACACTGAGTGAGAGACAGTCACTGAGTGAGAGACAGTTATTGAGTGAGAGACACAGACACCGAGTGCGAGATAACCCGGGTTCCATTCCCGAGGCAAGTTTCCTTACTCCACGCCTCTGTTTACTCAGCAGTAAGCAGGAACCCAGTTGTTTGTCGATTGGCGGATAGCTTTCTGGGGGTTATAATCCCTTCACAAAAAATAATAATAATTTGATCACTCAATCCATGACTGTTTGCACAATTGGCTACACATTTCGCCCGCAAAATATAATCAATTCACTTGACAGTATATTCTGTGAAGTGTTTTGAGATGATAAGACGCTGTATCAAGTGCAAGGATTATTATTATCGTTAATCTACAAAGCAGACTCAGATTGAATTTTCCCTACGTGTGGAATGGTTGCGGTTTGAGGGAGGGACGCACTCTGCTCACCTAATTGCAGAGTATTAGGCGCACGGTTACAGAGCGAAACCATATTAACCAAAGCCACACGGCCTTCACCTCGACCCAGAAACAAGCAGCTGGTCCGGCACTTTGTCTCTTTGAGCACAGGATATCATTACTGCAGCTCCACTGACGCAAACACTTCACACCCCATTGATGTCAGGCAACCCAGCCAGTGTCACCAGCTCGAGGCCAAACACACAGCCACTGAACTGTTCGCCTACAGTACACACAGTCACTACACTTTACAGTAAAGCCTGCGAAGCTCACTGAACGTCCTCCCGGTGTGTATCAAATTGAAGAAAGGAACAAGAGTGGGGGAGAGGGCAGGAGAGCGGGAGTAAACAGACGGCATTTCAGAGCCACCGCCAACATGAGGGTCTGAATGGCCTCCTTCCATGTTGGAAAATTGTAGGATTCAACAAGGTAAATTGTCCACCAGGTGAGATGTTAAAACTAGGGCTGCGTCTGTGCCTGTTCAGGTGCCAGTTCCCGGCGTGGAGAGCGCTGTGTAAATGCAAGTTGTTGTTGTTGAGGTTAATAGCACTATTTGAAAATAGAAGGTAGTTTCTCTCTCCCGGGTCCTGGCCAACAATCCCCCAGTAAACCTGGTCACACACTCCATGACTGTTTGTGAGACATTGCTGTGTGCAATTGGCTGCTGTGTTTGCCCATAAAATACAACAGTCACTCTATTACACGGTAAATTCTGTGAAGTGCTTTGGGAACCAAATGTAAGGTTTATTATTATGATTGTTATTGATAATTATTATTAGAATAATCTTTGCATTTGCTATTATTGTCACGGTGTTGAGACTTCTCAAACACTTCACGGTTGCTCTGGGCAGTGAAAAGTGCTTTCAAGCTGAACTTAATAAATAATAATAACCCTTGATTTTGATACAGCGCCTTATTACATCCTCGAGACGTCTCAAGGAGCTCCACAGAATATACTGTAAAGTGGGTTGACTGAGTATTTTGTGGGTGAAACGCGGCAGCCAATTGTGCAAAGCAGTGATCCACAAAGTCGTGGATTGAGTGACCAATTTTTTATGTGTGGTGGAGGTATTATTACCCCCGAAAAGCGATCCGCCAATCGACTAATAACCAGGTTCCTATTTACTGCTGGGTAAACAGATGTGTGGAGTAAGGACACTTGCCTAAGGTTCACCCTGCCCAGGAATCAAACCCGGGTTCTCTCACTTGCGAGGCGAACGCTCTAATAAATACACTACAGGACTCTCAATCTTATTGTAAACGAGATGAAACTTTGGTTCCTGCAGCCGATCACAGCTTGGAGGTTTACTCCAGTCTCTCCTAGTATAATGCTGTGACTCTGAGACGTGTGCAGACTCTGAGAGAAGGAAAAAGAGAGAGAGGGCGGGAGGGAGAAAAAGAGAGAGAGCAGGAAGGACATTGCCAGACTCCCAATGCTCTCCCCATCAGCACATACACCCTCCTCAAACCCTCTTCCCGGCAGCAGCCCATCTACATACTGACGCAGAGCGTGACGTCAGTTTGACAATACTGCGGTTCTGAGGCTCCTGGTGACTAACAGGAGCCTGTGGTGTAATTACAAGATAAGGGGTGACAGATGTTACAAGTGCTCTGACTAATGATCCCCATCCCATCCTGTATGGTCCTGGCTCATCCTGTGTGCTGTGACCTCCCCGAATATTACACTGTGCAGTCTGTCCAGTCACACTGTCCCACAGTCACTGTCTGTCTGTCTGTCTCACACACAGGGAAGGGGGAGGCGGCTGGAGGCTGGAAACCAAAACATAAAGCAAGGAGAGGATGAGGATGAGAGCAACAGTCAGAATAAAAATAGTGATAAAGGCATAAATACTACAGGAAAGAAAAAGGTAATAGGAAGTTATTACTAAAGGTGTAACAAGTCAAAAAGTGTAGGAAGAATCAGAGCGTATAGGCATTTGGGAACAGTTACCCGAGTAAGAGTTATGTAGACAAATGCATGTAGCGTAAGAAATAAAATGAGTGGATGTGAAGCACACATTCAGCTTAAAGGATACGATGTAGTAGCCATTACAGAGACTTGTGTACAAGCCGGGCAGGACCGGGAGCTAAATATAAGATCGTTAGGAAAGACAGGGACATTGGGAAAAGAGGAAGTGTTTCAACATTGATAAAATACACTATTTCACTAATACACTATTAAGGAAAGGTTTCCGTCAGGGCGATCAGGTTGTGGAAACATTGTGAGTAGAATTAAGGAAAAGCAAAGGAGGTAAAACTCTGTTGGCAGTAATCTACAGACCTCCAGAGAGTTGTGGTGTCGTGGGGAAATGTGTAAGTACGGAGATGAGGGAAGCACGCCGCAAAAGCACTGTGGTTATAATGGGAGATTTTAATTTTCACATAGACTGGTACAAGCAGGACACCTCAGGTAGTAAAGGCAACACATTTCCAGAATGTATTCAGGACAGATTTTTAGAACAATATGTTTTAGAACTAATCAGGGAACAAGCCATTGGATTTGGTGATGAGTAATGAGCCAGAACTAGTCAACAATCTGCTGGTAAGGGAACATCTTGCAAATAGTGATCATAATATGATTGAACTTGACATTGAATTTGAGTGGGAAATGGGAAAGATCTAAGCCAAGCTTTCAAATTTAAGTAATTTAAGCAAACTTCGATGGGATGAAAAATAAATTGACCACAGTAAACTGGGCTGAACTGTTAGGGGGGAAACTCGCAGATAAATGGGAAGTATTCAAAATATATTTCATACAATGCAGAAAAGGTAAAG